TCAAACTGTGAAGTTACATTATCTATAATTAAAAGCTCTCTGGCTTTGGAAAGGCTCTGATTCACATAAACATATTTTTTTAGTTAACATAATTGCAGTATTTTGTTTAATTCTCTCTTACTATATATATATATATATATATATATATATATTTTTTTTTTTTTTTTTATTTCCCCTCTCAAAGTGCTAAAATTCATACTTGACTGGCCTGATATTTGAGAAAACAATTTCAGTGAACTCTTTCTTTTTGATTCTATAAGCTTAGTATTCTCTATTGTACCATATGTACTGAATAAAGATGGGCCATATCAAAATCAAACTGAATAATTTTCTAAAAAAAAACAAACAAACAAACAGAAATTTATGGATTTCCAGTCATGTAAAAATCTTTTTATATTGCACACATAAATACATATTCACAATTCTTTCACAGAGAAAATCCTGACAAGCAGCTGCAGCACATAGCCAACTACAAACAGAATCCTGATATCCAGGTACCATTCAAAGAGTGTTCAGCCACATGCTTAGACTCCCAGGGTAATCTCTACATCATGGACAACCTGGACAATAAACTGTACAAGATCAGTCTAAAGGGAGAGGTGTACAGCATAGATCCCACTGGTGGTGAGAGTTTCACACAAGTGATCAGCATGGCTGTGGACAGAGACAATGCGTTAGTTGTGATACAAAAATCACAATCTCACCCAGCACAACCTGCTGCTAGCACTGCAGTGTATAGAGTGTGCACTTACAAGCTGGGATAAAGGACAATAAAGGTGCAGGCAATGGACCTGAAGTCCAAGGAATCTGTGGATTTGTCATGAAAAGATTTAGACATGAGGGGGGAAATCCTGAGAGCATACCATAATACTGACCTACTTACATGCTAAGAGTGCATTAAAAATACAGATGGCACTTGTAAACAATTCATTCAAGAGCCAGTTTCAAAAGTTTAATTTCAAACAGAAAAAACAATGATAATAATAATGTTAACCCTAAGCTTGATTTTCCAATAAATACTCACAGTTTCTTTCATCTGTATCTGGTTGATCTTGATTCTGAAGAGTTTGTGTTTGAATTCATTGTTAAACTTAAACTTGTCCCCAGCATCCACATCTTTGCTCTGTAAACAAAAGCCACAAAGTGCAGTCATTAATACTCACAATTTTGCAGAAAATCTAGACACAGATTCAAGTTATACACAAAAATAAATTATATTAGTCTAATAAAAGAAAACATGACATTTCAACAAAGACAATTATCGCTAAATAAAACAACATGAACATTAGTGAAATCTATCAGACAGTGTACATATCTCAAATACATGTCTCAGGTGGAGAAAGGGGGTGGGGAAGGGTGAGAGATCCCTGTAGACTGTCCTGTTATACTGCCCATAAACATGTTATGGTATTCCAAAAACTGTCCCTCTAAATACCTCCATCTTACCTTAGGACTCTTAATCAGCACTCTTGCCCGCCCACACGCCAGAGACTGAAGGGTTCTCTTCAGTTCCCCATCCTCTGAAAATTTACAAATTATAAATAACAAATATATCAGTGATGATTGTACAATGAAATAGGAGGTCAAAATAATGACAATTTTTATCATAATAACTAACTTTCTGAGTGCAATATCAGCATCAATAATAATTGTAATTTTTATTAACTTTACTACTATTTCATTATAAATTCTTATTCATTTATTTCCCAGACATTAACCACATACTGAAAGGCAATCAAAGTCTATTTCTTTAGTTCAGAAATGAATCCAGTATGGCATATCTTACCTATTGCTGTTGCCTGTTTTATTTCCTCAAATGAGAAGACATGTCCTTCATTAAACATCAACAGACAAAGGGTTTGGAACAGGGACACCTGGAGCTCCTTGTCCCCCTGGAAACAAAAATAAAGTTTAATAAATAAAAAAATCTTTGAAATTTTAAGAGTTTCTGGGGTAGCGTTAGCACTCACCAATTCTGCCAAATGCTAAACAATCTTAAAAATTGACTAAACAAAATAGGGGTTGATTTGACTTGTTTCAGTCCAATTTAAATAATTTGGAGAAAAAAGTGATGGAAAAAGTTGTGATTTTGCTAAACCAAAAAAAAAAAAAAAAAGATAGCCCTACCCTAGAATTTCAAATAATAATAAAAAAATTCATTAAGTAGAAAAATTATCACAGTAATACCAAGCATGCAATCACAGATTCAACAGCACAGATGTGTGCATGCACACACCCATGCACATGCCCGCACACACACGCACACACACACACACACAAACTCACCCCAGCAAAGGTTGCCCGTAGCACACAGTGTCCCAGTGTTGACTGCCACTGTAATTTCCTACCGCTGTGTTTACCCAGGTAGAACTTGGTGAAGATTTCTTGATATTTCACCATCTGAAATACAGGGGGAAAAAACAGGAAAAATTATTGGCCAAAAATATACAAAACATTAACATTAACACCCCCAGATGACAGGTTACTCAAAAACATTTAAAAATGGAATCAACTGAATTTTGATCATGACATCACAGAAAGCAACCTATGGACTATTTTGTATATTCCCAACTTCTGCAGCTGAGGTATTAGAAGTTACACCACAGGAATCTACTGACAATTTTGAAAAGGCACATTCAGACATGACATGTTTCCGGCTCTTTCTTTCTCCAGATCTATCCATTATACCAGTATGTTAATAACCAATGTAAAAGAAGTCTTAAAGGGATAATAACTCTTCGTATGATATCTTTATTTTACAATAAAAATATTGTGAACAACTCATAGAAATATAATATATTCTGTTGTATCACAAAAACAGCAGTTATAGCTATTATTCTGATATCTGAGCTTGTCTTCAGATCACGTGACTTCCATTGATGGCTATACTCTGTTAAAATCTCTTAAGAGATTTTAACAAAAAACCAAACTTTTTAGAAAAAAACCAGGGACTAACTTTGAATGTAAAAATGGATTCATTAAGCATTGGTAAGTATGGGAAAATTGTTGTTTACTCCAGGAAAATTCATTTTTTGGCCAAAACGAAGAGTTATTATCCCTTTAAGAAGTTTACCTCAGTGGGCAGATGGACCTCCATGGGGGTATAGGTGGGCCAATACCCCATAGTGAGGATATTCACATTCAGATCAATACTCCCTGGCACATCTAGATTACTGGTATGCTAGAAAATATAGAGAAATGTAACTTATCAACATACGTCTACATCAAGTACACAATGACAATGGATACAAATTATTTATATAAATCTATGTCAAATAGACAGTGACAATTTTTATAGGTTTATTTGATTGATAGAAACATGGTCTGAGAATTAGATCTTTGTCATTGTGGATATTTTATTACCTTCAAATTCTTCAATCCAAACTGTACAAGCTGCTGTATTATTATTATTATTATTATTATTATTATTATTATTATTATTATTATTATTATTATTATTACCTGTCTAAAAGCCAGTATGATGTCTTTGGACAACTCCATGTCCTTGAACATTATTATTATTATTATTATTACCTGTCTAAAAGCCAGCATGATGTCCTTGGACAACTCCATGTCCTTGAACATTATTATTATTATTATTATTATTATTATTATTATTATTATTACCTGTCTAAAAGCCAGCATTATGTCTTTGGACAACTCCATGTCCTTGAACATGCCCTCCAACTTACTGGTGAAGCCACCTCCACATTCTGAAATAAATTGTCACTGTTTTTATAGGGCTGCAGCACAAATTTATGATCAACCATGTTGACAATGATAGCAATAATAAATTTTTTTCAATTCTTTTTTCCTACAATTGGGGGAAAACCTGACAAAAAGTCACTTTTGCCAAATAAAGATCTAAACATATGCTTAAAATGGTCAGAAGTTCATAACCGACAGCAGCAAACTCTCAAGCTTTCATTACCTTGCTTTAACTTTGACAGCATAGATTTCTCTGCATCAACAGACGCAGACTTCCCAACTAACAGTCTCTTGGCCAAGTCTTTTTTGTAGAAGGCCTCAAAGACATCCTTGCCATGGATAAACCTAAAGAGCACCATGATCTTGTCAAGCAATCTCTCCAGCTCCTCCTCCGTTGCTTCCTTGTTGCCAGCGCGCAGCTTAGAGTCCACATACTTGGCTGAAAAAAAAGAAACAAAGTGCTCAATTAAAAAGAAGGTACTCATCATTTACAGTTCATAGCTTACAAACCACATATTTCATTGAAAAGAAAGCGTTCAGTAATACTGACACGAGTCATTATTAGCAAGAGATGAAAATGTTTTTATATCTTATTCCAATTGGTATAGAATGATCACTTCATTGAAAACATTCTACATCTTTATTTTAATCATCATAATAAGTTCATTTTACTTATATCTATTAGTACCTTTTTTAATGGTAACAGGTAGAAAAATTTCCTAAAACCATGAATCTTTTTTATACCATATCACATATTGATACCATATCACTTAAGCCAACTGATATCTTTTTTATAATCTTATTGTAAGATCATTTCACTGACACTATTCAACATTTTTGAACAACTTAATAATGCACAACTAACCTATAAATTCTGCCGGCTTATTCTGCCTTTGGTTAATAAATGTCTCAAAGGCCTCCTTCACAGCATTTACAAATTTTTCATTCTTGGCAAAGCAGACAGCAACAATATTGTCTATTCTATCCTTGAAATCTGAAAATCCAAACAATAATATCATATTTTACTAAAAATTTTCTAAGGCACTGAAATATTGGAGTGCTAGTAACACCCTGTATCGCCAGCTGTTGCTTGAAGTAACTTTCATAATTATAACTTTGAGTGCTTAGCACAACTGACAAAATACTTGGCTGTAATGCACATATATTTATAATGAATTCATAATCCATAAGAAAAATTTCTAACTTTAAGTTAAAATACCTGCCTGGCACAGGCTGTTCATTTTAATATCTTATTAATTTTATCAAAGGTTAAAGTTAAGTGAATCCCTTACCCAGCAAACTCTGTACCATGTCTCTGTCTTTATCTGGATCATTGTCTGGGTTTATGACAATCATTTTCCCAGATTTCTGAAAATACATAGAAGGTACTTATTGCCAGTAGTAGTAGAAGCAGCGTCCAATATATTTTAGAATACAAGGTGCAACTTGGGGCATTCTGTAGTAAGTTTTGCGTGCCTATAAAAAACTGGTCTTTAATAGCACGTTATAAATTTAAACTTCCAATTAACAATTTAAACAGAATATGAGTGAATGAAAAAATTAATGAACATATGACATGATCATACACCATTACCTTAATATATGATGCACATGCCACGTAGAGTTCTTTGAGGCCGTCTTTCACTCGGCTAAATAACTGGTACATGAGCGTCAAGTCTTGGATTCTGTTTTGCTCCAGTAACATGTCAAGTCCTAGAGAAAGATATCATTTACTCACACTTTAGGTTTTTGTGTTCAGTCTAATATCATTCAGGGTTAAAACTTACCTCCAGAGTCTAAAAATTTTACTGACCCCCATATAAATGTGTTAAAAAGCAATGAGACAAAAGAAGTGGAAATTCAGTCTACTTTGAACCTCAGAGATTCACCTTTCTGAAAATGGACATTTCAAGGAACCACAATAAAATTAATAACTAAGTCAATGGTTTATTTGGCCTACAACAAAATATATTACATTTTACTTAGCCAAATAAGAATATGATAAATATTTGACAAAAATATACTGATACGTTAAGACTAAGCACAGAACGGTGATATTTTATTGTTTTTGTTCCTGTACCTACCTTTTTGTAGTATTGCAGTTAAGTGGTGCTCCAAGAGGTTTTTCTCCACACAAGTAACCAGAGATTTCCTGAAATAACACATCACATCAAAAATTATTATTACTATAATTTCTCTCTCTCTCTCTCTCTCTCTCTCCACACCCTTCTGTCTTCAACTGCAAGTTGTAAAAAATAAGAATTCCCATGTCACATTCTACAGTGTTGAGACAAAGCGTAACCTTTTCAAAAAATAAAAATAAAACATCCTTTTTTCGCACTTTCATTATTGCCATTATTCAATCCAATCCATATCCCTACTGTTACATACATTTGTGTTATGACAGGGTACAATTTCAAGAAAATACACATAATAAACTGACTTATATATTACATATATGCATTTACAAATTTTACAGATCTATAAGCTATGTATTCATGAGTCCCTGTATGGAGCAACAGGGAAGGGATCAGACACTAACCTTGTACTCTGATCTAAGTAGTGATACAATCTCTCCGTTTCCTCATTCAACCTTTTGTCCACATGTGACAGGTACTCTGGAACCTGGAAATAGACCCAGTTAAATCAGATGATACACCATGACAGACTGGAACTTTCCAGAGCACTGGTCACTCAGACTACCCATCGGTCACTCAGATCTTAATTGCCCTGCCACTTAGACTTATCTGCAGTAGAAGGCTTCTTAATTAACCGAATAAAAAACAAGTATGAAGTTTAACTATCCTCTGTTCCACAATGGCTGCCTTACCTCTCTCTCATGCATGAGTTTCTGTCCCTCAGCACAGTATAATCTGTCTGTGGCAGCCAGGAACTTCACCTCAAAGGCTTCCTGGTAGATCTGGGAAAACACAAGACAGTATCACAATAACTATCAAAATTATTCAGGGTGTTTTACATATCTGAACAATGAAGACCAGTTTGTTTACACTCTGGGGCTGTTTGTGGAAAGGGCTTGTAGTATACTTTGAGGCCAAAAAAAACTTAGTCTACCT